AAGAAATTGTTTATGTTGACTGAACATCCAGGAAACAGCAGAGCCAATGTTCAGGTTTTTAAAATATAACTTTCGGTTTATTTAGATTACATTTTCTATCCACCTTGCCATATTTATAGACCCGTGTTTACATAAACACTGGTTTCGCATCTTTATTAACCCACTCTCAGCAGAAACTCTCTACGGTTTCTTTGCTGTATCTCCCCCTGTAAAGAGATTTTTTCTGATGATAGCCCGCATTCAAATCGGTTGACAGCGCTAATTTATTGAAAACCTCAAACCAGATGGCCAACACAATACCCGATATCTGGATGGCGGCACAGTCAGCATGGGTGAGAGAACAATAGTGATGAAAATTAAACAAAAAAAACATCTCTGAGACAGTCTACGAGTATTGTCGCGGATTCATCCGATCGCCAGCGAACCCTTTATCAATCACAGACACAGCGGACTTTCACCCAAAATAAATTTTAAGCACAACAACAAAAATGAATACATAAATGACCGCCTTGTTGGCATACGTATGTGCATATGTGTGTATGTTTATGTATATTAGTGGTCGTATACATATGAATGCACATGGTATGCAGATGATGCAATTGGCCATAGACTGGTATCCACTGTGCGGTTAATGTTTTACACTTTGCGGGGTGGTGTGTGGTTATCAATGCCTACGGTTGTTGCCACCGTCATATCGGGCTGAGAGTGTGTGAAGTATTTCCCATATGTATGATAGTATCACCCATCCATATCCATAAATACGTATGTACACATGTATACGTATTTATACGTAGGTAAAGTTAATGTTTGCCGTTCTGCATGCCCGTGGGCTGGGGGTGGGAGCCCCAATTACTGGCGTATTACTCACTTGCTCTCTGGCTCACTGCCACTGCAACTGATAGTATGAACAACAATTACTGTACATGTATGTTGTCTGTTATTGCCGTTTGGTGCCACTGCTGCTACTGCCACGCTGCCACTCGTACTGTCGTGGGTACTGGGCTACTGAGTATTGGTGCTGGCAGATGCGCTCATTGCAATATTTGAAATTGCAAACGACACGTACGAGCCTTAATTAAATGCCGTTGCGTTTGCAAATCGAATAACAAAATCAGAGGCGGCAACAAAATAAATAAGGGAACTCTATGGCCAGAGACATATTAAATACGAGCTCCACTAAACACTAAAGAACTTCTTTTGCATCTTCCACTTTTCGGCTGTTATAATTATACTAACTACATGATATTTTGATAAATCGCTAGATAATTGAGCATTAGAAATTGATCTTCACACACAAGATTTACCGACCAGCTTGTGGCACGATTGTTGACGATCGAATGTACAGAAGGAGGACATTGTTACTCTGATCTGATCTCTGATTTTGTTAGTGGGGGTTACAATTACACCTACACGAATATGTTTTTATGTGTGTAATCGACGATTACCGGGTACATTTGAGGCTTGACAGTGCACAAGTCAACCGAACCGAACCGAACCGAACACTCAAATACACAAATCCACTCAACGCAATGCGACGCGACGGCTTCCCGGTTGACACACGACTAAACCTAATAACTGGCCAAGTGGCATACAAAATTCAAAAAAAATAAAATCCAAAAAACACTGCGAAACAACAACAACAACAAAAGAGCCCAAAATCAAAACCGAAAATCCCAAAACAAAACAACAACAGTAGAAGACAATACAAAAAATAGGAATAGGATGGAATAGGAATATATGTAACCAAAAGCTGAAGAAACACCGGCCGCACCTCTGCCCGCTGGGCCACAAAACGTCGCTGTCTCTGCAGCGGCTGCTCGGTCTCGGTCTCTGCCGCTAGCCCAGCCCCCAAAGCCAAAGCTCCAGGGTACATTAATTGGGTAGGTAAGACTTCACAGACAGTCATGACAGTCAGGTATTTTCTTATTGGGACTGGGAACACTCACTGTTTTCTGCATGTGTCCAAGATATAGGCAGGATAGGTCACTTACTCGCATTGACTCACCTTTCGGCGTGCGTTTCTATCACCCAGCAGCAGCAGTAGAGCGTCGACAGCGGCAGCCCCCGCAAACGCCAACAACGGAATGACAAGCGGAAAGGGAGAGACCCCAAGGAGAGAGACAGAGTGAGAGAGAGAGAGAGAGAGCGTGTGGCGACTGAACGATACCGCGCACTGGCCTATCCCCCGTATATGCCACAGCAAGATCACGTTAGAGCAGAATGCGCGATGATATGCCCGATACTGACACAGTGCAGGGTGCATATAAAACGCCACACGAATGAGTTTTGAATAATATTTACATTTATTCACATGGGTGTGTTCGTGAGCGAGTGAGTGATTGCGTATGTGTGCGGTCGTGAGTGTGATTGCGAGTGTTACTGAGTAAATTTCACAGCAGAGTCGGCCAAAAACGCGAGCGAGTTGCGTTGTTAACGCGCGCAAAACAATGCCGAAACGCTGATTAGTGGAGCAACGGAACCAGGGGGCTGGTGTTTGGTGTCTGGTCTCAGATCGTCTCAGCCAAATATAAGTGACGAAATTATAGCAGCAACTAGTTATAAACAATGCACATTAAATGCCAGAAGTGGCAGCCAAAGGCAACAAAAGAAATAATCCAAGCTCAGGCAAAACAATAATTTCGCATGACTCCAGCCAGTAGCTTCTACTTGCAAAATAAGCAACAAACCGAAGGCTACTTATTGTCTTTGGTTAGCCAACAATTTGATACACACACACAAACACATGTAGGCCCTTTCATACCAATCAAAACACAAGTGTGTACTATGGTAGAATAGATTGTACATAGGTATACTGGAAGCATGAAAAAATATTTCATAAAGAATAATACTGCTGAAAATAACACTACCTGTTGGAAGTGTTTAAAACGCCAGAGAAACGATCCAAAGAAGATGAAAGCAGAAGGTATAAATATTTACATACATGCATATGGCATAACAGGTTGACTTGTATGAAAGGTACATAAATCAAATGATCGTTTACATATGCAAAGTTGATTTGGTGATGAATCTATTCATTTCTGTAACAACTTTCAGCATTCTCTACTTGCTTGGCTCTTTCATGATCCCCATTTGAATGTAAATGATTAGAATATTGAATGCCAGTGCAAAACAGCAATACTATCGCTACCACGAGCAGCCTCGACAAAATATATATTATGAAATGATATTGTAAAGGATAAATAAATATAAGTACGTATAGCCAGTATCCAATAAAAGTGCCTAGACAGCGCTCTCCTGCACAATGGTGACCGAGGAGGAGGTACGCAGCTCGCACAGCTCCTGCATGAGGTCCCCAAAGAGCATGGGATTCACATTCACACTGACCTTCATCAGCAGAAACCAATCGCCGATGGTGAGATCGCGCAGGGCACGTTGCACATGCCGTTTGGTCATGAAGGACAACTGGCTGCGGATCATCTTCTCTCGCAGACTTTTGTTGGTCAGCATAACCAGCCTGCAGAGAATATTCACGCCTGAAATGATTGCTATGAACAGGAACCAGCACCAGAGGAATACGAAGATCTTCTCGTTCAGTATGTTGAGCGGCAGAATGCACAGATTGTCCATTACATTGACCGTCCCACTGGGCCCATACTTGAGAACCTCGCATTTCGAGATTTTGGGGAAAACTTTCGATGACACGCGATTCCAGTGGTCCCAATCGTAAAAGGGTACAGCGGCCAGGGCCTGCAAATATTTCGCCCAAAATCCATTGAGAAAAACGTCCAAAAAAATTATGTTCACAACCTGTGGGCGAGAGTTCTTATCTGTGGAATTTATAACAAACGAAGTAAGTATCTACTCACACTGATCACACAGTTGAGCAGCTCGCAGAAGACATACTTGGCCATGTAGCAAAAGTGCAGATCCTCGTGGTCGGTGGAAAAATACTTGACCAATACCCGTCGTCTGGTGTTGTAAGTCTCATCGGAGAGCAGGGCCTCGCCCACCTGGGAGCAGAGTTGCTTCAGTCGCTGTCCCTCCCACACCTTCCACAGGCGTGAGGGAAAGATGAAGACTAGCGACTGGACGAGCAGCAGCAGGATGACCCACTGATAGTAGCGGAGATACTCGCGCTCCGACACGCCAGGCAGCTCGGGGCCCACACCCTCGGCTATGAAAGCGGCCCTGGCATACGCCTCGTCGTGGTCCACCAAGGAGCGCAAGAGGGAGCGAGATTTGGAATGCTTGGCACGCCACTGGGCGCTCGCATTGCTGGGACGCACCTGCTGTTGTCCATGGCTGCCCGTTGCATTTGGCAGCTTGAGGATGTAGGTGCCCATGGTCCAGCAGTAGGATCGCACGTACTCGATGTTTTTCTCCTCGCTGAGACACTGAATGGGATCCCCGAAGTACTGACGAGCCGACAGCAGCAGCGAGCAGGTTATCAACATGACAAACGTGCACTTGGAGTGAATTGTGAAGACGGCATCGTAGATGCGAATCGATTTAAATTGCAGATATTTTGACAAGGGCTTCACCGCCGAATACATTTCTTCTGCCTCTGGGAAGAGTTCCTCGAGGACCGCTTCCAATTCTTGATGTGCGCACCAGCTTTAGCATTCACTTGGCATCTGCCACTTGACTTCCTTCTTTCCCAACCGTTGCAGGAACTCGTTAGCAAACCCTTTATGGTTTTGGATTATGGACACATTACAGCATGAAATGTCATTGCCAGACATTTTGTTCACCGCCTACTTTGTTCTCTCTCAGCCATCGACAAGTGATCAGAGTTGCAAATAGTGTTTCTATCGATAGATTGTTCGGTTTTTTTCGGGGGGTTATCTGTAGGACATTGACACATTTATCCTTGAGACGTTGATCATGTGGCAGTCTTTAGATAACACAATAAATCCAACAGTATTTCAATTTTATTTTGTTCTCAGCCAAAACGTATGCAACACCTTGGGAATGCGCGGAATGTTTGGTATGTTCGTCGTCCGGTGTCGCCACAGTGTTATGTATTTAGTATGTAGATATTTTGTAGAAAAGAAATCTTGATTTATTTCATCGATTTTGGGCTCTAACTTAACTGTAAACCTATGACAAACGGTGATACTCTATCTATAATTCTCATCATTTCATCAGCTCTCTTCAGCCTTGGCCTCTCTCTGGGTCAGCACTTTTGTCCAAAAGGTGGTTCGGGGGGGAAGGGTCCATTTCGAGCTGCCAGTCAGTCCAGGTTTAGGAATCCAATTATCGAAGGTATCTGCAATTAGGCAGAGCAAATCACACAGCGCAGCTAATTATCATAAATCAAGTAAATGTATTTCACTTCTCTTTTTATGCCTGACCTTGCAGCCAGCAAAGCGAGAAGAAACAAAACAAATTACAAATCACAAGAAATGGTAGATCTACTTAAAAAAAGAGCAACTCACAAACATGCAGAAGTAAATACAATGGAACATAAAACAGAAATAGTTTCGAATAGTTGTATCATTCTTTGTGGAATTTCTTTGAGTTAGAGACATAAATCTAAAATCTACATCCGCTCTGAAGCAAACAAATTTGGCAGTAATTATTTGAATACTTAGTCAAAACCATTTGACACCTCCAACTCCAAGTGCGAGACCCGAGACCCGAGACACGAGACTCGAGACTCGAGACATCGTAAAACATAAGAGACGAGACGAGGCTAGACCCCAACGTACCTCATCGCATCGTTATCAGCATAAAGTATGAGCACAGCAGGTGCAGAGACAAACATCAAGCGCTGGTGTTCCCTGAACTTGACCTCCGCCAATGGCATTCAATGTGACTGACCGACCAACAACTCCAACCCCCCACTCCCACTCCCGTTCCCTGTAAAAACCACACAACTTGTTGTTGTTGTTGCTGCTGTTTTTTTATGTGGGGGAAAAACACGTCACGATCTGCGTAGATCCGTGGAGCACCAAACTGAGCGCTAAGAGCTTTTAGCGCTTGGCTTCCTTTTGTACAATCATTTCGATATTTATTATGAAATGTGTTTGGCCTGATGAGCGGGCATATTTGTATTGTTTATGGTTTATTGTTTATTGTTTTCTGTTCAATGATTTAAAATTCAGTCTGGGTGCAAAGAGTATGCGGAAGTTTTGACTGTTAGATACGTTTCTTAGCTTCTGGTTCTTAAAGCTTGACGGCTTCTGCTTAATTCTGAGTCGCGATTTTTCATACAGCCATTCCCATTCCCATTCCCCATAGTCATCGTTCATTGTTCCGCAACGCCGGGCACAGTAATAATTAAGATACTAGAGCGCAAAAGGTACAGATACTCCGTACGATAGTGAGAGCAAGTCGATGGAGCTTTGTCATGATATTCTTTAGCCACTGGTAAACGTATCCAAGCCAATAAGTACGAGTTCGAGTACGAGCACTCGTATCTCTGGTCTATAAATTTAAGAGGCAACCGCGCTTGGCCTGTCCATGTAGCTTGTGGCAAACAAGACCCAGCCAAAAGCCAATTGTTTTAAGTATTTATGCCAGAGGCATGCCCAGGCCGGGCACCTTAGGCGCATAATTTAATATGCGGCATAGTTTCAGCTCTGGTCAAAACCGTTTTGGGCCGCAGTTAGCAGTATTAACTGCTGGCCAGAGATTGCCACATCCAATGCCAGGTGTGGACCAAATTTTGGGCGATTTCAGACAAAGACAAGGAAAAGGTACCCCAAAGATCTGAGACAATCGCTCGACAATCAATTATGCAAAGACCCCAATTAAACCCCAACGAAATAAACGAACTTAACCAGAGGAAGCAACCAAAAATATTATTCTAGATTGTCCAATTAGTTGGCCAAAGATGTTTAATTTAAAGTTCAGTTCAGCTCCACACACACAGCTGGTGAGTGGTGGGGGGGAGGGGCTCCACTCACCTAGACTAACATTTGACTGCCCAAAATGCATTCACAGTTCAATTACACAGCGATCTCCAGCTGATACATATACCTATGTATTTACATACGTATAATTATGGTAGGGAGCGAGATACGTTCAGTCAGCAAACGAATATCGAGTGCTGTTTTCCAATCCAAACAAGAAAAGAAACCCTTCCGGCAACTGGTTTTTTCTCTGCTTCCGCATTATGTCTTTGATTTCTGATTTATTTTGTGGTCTTTTGTGCTCAAGACCCCGTTCGTCTGCCTTTGTTTTCAAGCTGAAATATGTTGTCTATGGTCTGGCCACAGCCTTGACCGTAGCCCAGCATCTAATAAGCAGAGCGAACGAATCAATGCTAACTTCATTTAGTTTTTAACACTGATTTTTTCATCTGCCACACTTTTTGTGGTTTGCTGTTTCAATTCTCTGCATGTTTTGATTCGCAAGTTTGCGCTAAATATTGAACCAGTAGAAAAGAGTGTCGAATCTCGAGGAATGGGAACGAGTAGCAAGAAATTGTAATGGAAGTGGCGGAATGTAACGGAATGCAGTTCGTGGAAATTAAATCTTGATTCCATTGTATTCAATTACATTTATATATAAATATATACCCATCTCCAGTATCTTGTGATGTGTCACGTCATGGCTTAAAAGGCTTATGGTCCGCCACATTAAATATGCCATTTTTTTGTAAGCAAAATGTAATTGCTAATGAATCATATCTGTGGCAAGCTATGGGCCAAATCAATCATGAAATGGTTCGATGTAGCTTTTAAAAACTAGCCTGAAACCAAACAACTCCCATCCTAGTTGGTCCCTCAGGGCTGCACATATTCGCTATTTAACACTGAGACTAGCAGTCGGCCGTCGCTGACTCACCTTGGTGGAAAAATCATCCTCTGGCTGCTCTTGGGGCGGTGCCATTTCAGCGGGTTGCACCTATGTAGATGCTCTTTCTGCCAGCTAATTACAAACGATTATGATTTGCACTAAAAGTCCATAAATTGTCATTTCTTCTCTTGATAAACTCGCGAAACTCAAACAGGAAAAAAAAGAGGGGCTACAAACAAAAAAAAAAAACAAATCTTGTAGGATGAAACTGTTTCTAGGGTCGCGCTTGATCTAAGAAAATATGTGAATACTTTATGGACTTGAATGAACCAGCACGTCAGATGCTCGGCTCGAGACTGACAGACAGAGCGCGACTTCGCTACCGGCTTCGACTATTGGATAGTCGGCCGGCCCAGGTCTCTCCGATCTCCGATCTCGCGAGTCTCGCGAGTTCTTTGGGGTTTTCTGTTTATAGCCATAACTGGTTCTCGTTCTGTATTCTTATGGGCTTCGTGCTTTTTTCGCTCTCTGTACAGAAAAAGAATCATAATAAATTAGCCCACAGACTTAGCTGGACCTCCCTCCCCCTCCTTTGGCTTGTTCTTGGCTCACTGACGTCACTTGAACTTGTTGCTTGAACTTTGAAGACGAAGGTCGGCGCATGAAAAGCCAAATGGAAATTCAAATTGAAATGGAAATTATCATGCAAATGGAAATGTTTTAGTGTCTGGCAGCTGATCAGCTTTGGCATTGGCAATAAGTGGCTAACACACACTGGCACACAGCTAGTGCAGGCGATGGCGACTGCAATTTGCAACCAACACAGAAACGCAAGTGCGTGCCGACAACACGACTAAAATCGCCCTTGAAACGCTAAGAAATCGCGCAGCGCATTTGCCCGACAAAAGTAGCGCGACGGAAAACGCTCTTAAAGTTGTTTATTTTCACTTTTATTGTTTTTTTTTTTTTTTGTCGTTGCAACTTAAGAGTGCATATGACAGGTTGAGTATACTTTAACGTTTATTCTTTTGTGATAAGGCCATAAACTGCTTGGACTCAAATACTCGTGTTCGGTTAAACTAATAACGAGAAACAAACAGCATTTGATTATGTAACAATAAGAGCATATTTTAATTGCCTAAGGAATGTATTGGAAAATGACAACTTGATTTTGAGTGCTCGTCAAGAACGTTGACAAGCACGACCACAGATCGGATTGCTGTGCAGAGAGTCAATGGTTGCAGTTGGTGGGGCCTTAGTTGGAGCTGGTCTCGTCGCGAGGTTTCTAGTGCGCGAACGTTTTAAGTTCAATGAAAACTTGAATAGACATCAGAAAAAAACACGCACTGCGACAAGGAGAGAGTGAGCCAGAGGGAAGTAAGAGTGCGAGTGTATAGAATGGGTATTGACTCGCTCGAATGGCCACTCGAAATCATAGTCATAGTCATAGTCATAGTCATAGTCCAATAATTATCAAATGTCAGTGGTGTGTAATTAAAAGCAAATCGTTCCAAGGTTAGCCGCCAACATGCCACGCACACTGAGACACAAAGATAGACAAATTAATCCGCTTGTCGGCCATATAAATAATGTATGTGTATCTTTGATTAGACATTTTCCATCACCATCACCGACAGAACTTAACTTTTATAAATAATAAATCTAAGGCTCTAACCGCGCCCGCAGCGCTGGCAACTCCACTTTGATGCCTGTCAGGGGGGCCAGACAACTGAGAATTATAATTAGTTTCCATTCAACTTTAATGACTTTAAACCGTGCAACTCATACCTCAGCTGGCAGCTCAAACCACAAATCAGCGATTGACTTTAGATCTACATATTGCGAGGAAGAAAACTTCTAGAGGGTGAACGGAGAAGGATCCAGTTAGGAACCGCAAGGGCTTCGAAAATTAAAGAGCACTCCGCAAATAGATAGTCCAGCATTTATTTCATTTGTTTTCCACAATCAACGCTAACGACGCGAGGCGCAGGCATCGATATGACGATTGACCTCCTCGAGGCCAAGGACGGCCTGAGCGGAGGCGTCATGGGTGCAAACACTACTCTCGGCAAAGACGGCGGGGATGCGCTCGTTGGTCGACTTCTTGATTGTTTTGATGGAGGAATTGGCACTGATCAGAAAGATGGAGGCCTGAACGTAGAACTTGGCCATGCAGGACTGCTTGAGGATGTTGCTGTTGTAGCTGTTGCACTTGTTGTAGGTGCGTACCAGGTTGTAGCCGCCGAATGTGAGCTGCTGGGTGGCTGCGCTCACGTCGGTAGCAATCTCGGCGGACGTGTGGGCAGCGACAACACCGCAGCTGTGAAGCTCCTCATGGGCCACGTCTAGGATGCGGGCAATCTGCTCATCCTCGGCCGCAACGCACTCGGGACTCTCTGTGCGACGGGCCTCCACCTGCTCGACGGCCTCCTCCAGCTCGTGCTGTGGCTCCAAAACAATCTCCTCGTACTGGTGCACCAGGGCCTCGCCGGTATTCTTCCCAATCTCGGTTATCTCGTCCACAACGCTTCGAACTTGAGCGTCCAACTGGCTGGGAATGGCCAAAGGCTGGGCAAAGGCGCTGGCCACGCACAATGCCAGAACGACGGCTACGATAGACTTCATGATTACTGCTGCTCCTTGCGTTTCCTCGGATTGTGGCTTCTGTGCATTGTCACCCGATATTTATACCCCCGAAAACCAGAAAGATTTGCAGTCTGAGCCCTAATCTTAATTGTCCCCACAATAAATGGGATTCGGATTGGCTGCGGTTGTAAATCAATCAAAAGCTAGATTGAACTTTACATTCGAATCGGATCGACTCAGATCGAGTCGTTGTGTCGTTCGCGCATTTCGATTTTGATTAGCAAAACTTTATAAATCCCTAAAATAACCACAACATATGACGATAAGGAATCAAATTGTCTAACAAAAAAGTGCAGGTCACAAAATGGATCCGTAATCTCATTGAAATCGATCAAGTTGTAATGCGTTTAATTATCGAAGCTCACCACTGACACTTTAGAAAGGTAATTCCTAGTTTACATTCAAGTCTCTCATAGTCAAAATTGAGCTCCCAAAAAGGATATTTGTAATAATAATTTATTAAAAACCAAACAGAACTATGAACCCATTCATAATTGCCACTCTGATGCATCAAATTGAGTACAATCATCGCTAATATAATGCCCCCATATTGAGAGCCCGAATACATATGGATTTAATCACATGAAAGTATGTGTCTGATGTCTGGATTGATTGAATTTCCACGTTTCGCTGACTTTTAATCGAGGACCATAAATTAAATGACAATATCTTACATAATTACTGCGTTATTAAGATTTTGCAGATTATAGCGATTTGAAGTGGCAAATCCATTAATAGATGTTCCTATCGCCTTAAAGCCAAGCGAAAATACTATTTGACATCTTATCAAACACACACATCACGCTCTCTTTCCCGCAGTATTTCTCTGAGCAATCGGGGGAAATTGGACCCACAAAAAGAAGTGGGTCTAGACCGGGACGCGTGCAAATTAAAGTAAACAAATGAGGCAAAAACAAAGACAAAAGCGACTGCGAAATAAGGGGAAATATTTAAATTGGTTGAGTTGCCCCGCCAACATTTGACTGATAAAAAATACACTCTTGAATATTTTAATTAACCTGGAGCAATTGATATGCCTACTATCTGGCCAAGGGGAGAAATCCGTTCTGGGACTATTACTGACCATATATAAAGTAGAACCAAACAGCGCGAATCCAACAAAGTCCAATCAACCATGAAGAGGATTATTCTGGTGCTGGCCCTTGCCCTGGCTGCTGCTGTAAGTACATGAAAACCATGCTGACCCAAAGACTCGTATGATAAGTTTTAGTAATTTTAAGCGGTCTTAGTTTCAGATTTATATTCGGATTCATGTACTGAAATTTCTTTCTCACTGTTTGGACAGGTCTCGGCCATAAACCTTGAGGAGAGGTTCCACGATGTGGAAGCGGACATAGATGTCGGCATGGACACAGACATGGATATTGATATGGACTTTGCCATGGACTTTGCCATTGACTTTGCCAAGGAACTCGATTTGAGCGAAGATGTGGAGATCGATCAGTTTGGTTTGGTCGACAAAATGGTGCATGCCGCCATCTCAGAGGCCGAATACTTGGCCGGGGGCATTGTCAAGATGGTGGAGCATCAACTGCTGCAGATCTTCCTGTCTCCGTTCAAGAAGCTGGAGCAGGCGGCTACCGACATCAAAAACCGGGCTGTGGACAGCGAGGCGTGTGTGTCCAATGAGGCTGTCCATGTGGCCACCACCCTGGAGTCGGCAACATTGGGCTTTCTAAACTGTGGACGCGATGCCACCGTCACCTCTGTTAACTTGATACTCGACACAAAGCGTGCCGTTGTGCAGCTAACCTTCGATGGCTACTCCCTGATCCGCCAGGTGCAGTCATGCCGCAAAACCACGCTCAGTTGGCTTAGGAAAATGTGCAGGACCCGTCTGTACATCAATGGTTGCATCTATGCCGTGAATGCCCAGAGATCGATACGCCATTTGATAGCTCTACGTCGCACGGTACCCGCCGTCGCCACCGATGCCACCAGCTGTACCTCGTCCGCCACAGAGAACGCTCTTTTCGGTTTTGCCGAGATCAATGCCAACATCGATACCTGCATCGATACAATGATTCACTAAGTTTTCGCAAATTAAAAGTATCAATAAATGAATGCAGTGCAAACAGAAGGGTTGTCCTTAGTGGAGTTGATAGTAAATCCCGTAAGAAATCGTAGAGGAATTGAACTTCAAAGTAGATAAGGATGATCAAGACTTGAGTTTGGGACACCCAAGCAGGGCGACCCTCAAAACTAAATAAGAAAGTAGATGCCATTGTTTTGGTTTTTTTAGATTGTTTTAAATGTAATATTTTTATTTAAATTTGGTTTCAATATCGTTCATCTTGTTCAAATACAATAAATAAACATTTAAACTATTTAGTGGTATGTATGTATGTATATGTGTATGCATATATGTATATATATAAATCCTTTTTTTTCTTTTCTTGTTATATATTTGAAATAAGTGTATATATGTATTTCATGGGTTTTTCTTATTCTTTGCATAACTCATTGCATTCATTTTCCTTGATTTTTCATAATTGTTTTTCTTACTATTCCCAAATATTTGACTTGGTTTTCTTTTAGTTTTGAAAGAAACATTTACTTGGTAGTTTTTTTTTTTGGGCTTTTCTTTTTTTGTTATTTAAGTAAATTGCTGTGTTCTGGTTTTAAATATCCATCAATGGGTATACATATTTTTTTGTATATATGTATATATATATCGTAATCTATATTGTATGTGTATATACGGATGTACATATGTATTGTATAAGTAAAAGTAGCTTGTTACATAAATTCTAATGTATAAATTGTTGTCTACTCAAGTGTATTATGCTCACATACAAATACAACTAGGTTAGCATTTTTCTGTGTGTCTGAATGTGTTTGGGTGTCACCTGTACATATGTATAATGTATGTACCTTTATCAATAATTAGTTAAACTTTAGCTATGTAAAGAGTTTGACTTATTTGTGTGTGTGTCTGTAGCCAACAATTACATGTACCATACACACAAAACTCTTATATATATTTTTTGTTTGTTTGGTAAATATTGGAGTTTTATCATTTTTGGTTTCCCATTTTTCTTGGAATTTTTAATTTTTTTTTATTTCATCAAAGTGTTTGTTTTGTTTTTATTAGTCACAGATGTTTTTAGGCGCATTTTTTGTTTAAAAAAGGTTTCTCAAATGAATTCAGCGTGTTGAATATGATTAATACTCGATTTTTTGTAATAGAAGAAGAAAATTAAATACAATAAAAGGCATTCTCTTGTATTATTATTTTTGTTTTTTTTTTCTAATTTGTGCTTCTTGTTCGATTTGCCTGCTTTTCATTCATTTTGAAACAAAAACTTGAGAGAAGTTTTTTTTTTTTGGCTTTTATTTATTTCATTTTTAAAATATATAATATTTAGTTCAATAAATTCGTTACGACACATGGACTAAGACACAGCAAAAAATATTCATGCTTAATTTAGTTTCAGTTTCGAGTGTGTGTGTGTGTGTGTGTGTGTGTGTTTTTTGTTTGGTATTTTTTTGTGTGTGTTTTCTTTAATTGCATATTTTGTTGACATTCAGCGATCTAAATGCGCTTGTAAATATTGTTTCAATTATAAATGATGAAACAGATTAAGAATATCCGTGTTCCGCTTATACATATCTTTCAAATGACACAATTTTTGTACACACACTTCTTGTATGCATGTAATTACTTTCGTATTAGGATTTTAAAAGCTAAACATTCAACTCTTTTGTCAATTGTCTTTGTGGTATTGTTTTTACGGCTAACATCGAATTCGGTAATTTCTATATTATTTTCGTAACGTTTTTTTTTTTTCGGTATTCATCGGCTTTGATATGTTCGCTTCAAATGCGTGTCATGAAAATACATTTGCTTTGCTGATTCTGCAATACAACTCCGTTTAAAAATATACAGTAGAACCAGGCTACTACATAAGTACATGGGTATACATACATATATACTAAATACGTGTGTCTTTCTATACATCTGTAAGTACATACATGCATACATAGATTAAATTGGGCAAATATTTATTCTCCTCTTTAAATTTGTTGTTATTCCGTTATTGTTAACGCTGAAAATTCTTGCATTACCCAATCCTTTTACATTTTTAATTAAATTCTTCTCCGGCATTTCAATAATATTATAAGGTTAGTGTGGCCAAAGCTTATTGTCGGAAGCGTTATGCATTTTTTAGTTTTTTAGTTAAGTTTTGGTTTTTGTAAAAATATTCCCGTAACTCGTTGCTGATTTCATTTTCATATTCATTTTTTTTTTTACTATTCATCTCATATTTGAACATTGAAAACAACGAAAAAGAAATAACAAAATAATATCAAACTTTTCATTGTTTAATTCAAAATTTGTTCAAATTTTTTGGTTTGTTGGTTTTTGTTTGTTGGTGTCATTGGTAAGGCTATTTTGTTGTTGTATAGTTTACTTTAGTTTTAGTGTTTGATGTTCTCGTCGTCTCCGTCTCCATCTCCTTTCCTTTTCATTATTATTATTCTCGAAAAACTATTTATTATTTTGGTCTTTGCTTAAGCTAATCACTAAATGTTATGTTTTTTTGTTTGTTGTATATATCGATTTTTTTGTTAATTTTTTATTCTTTGATAAATGTATATAAATTGTTTTTTTTTTTTTGTTGGTTTGTTGTTTTTTTCTTTTGGCGTAACTTTTTTTCTGTATGAGCTTGGTTTTGGTTTCCTTCATTTTTGGTAAAGAAAATGTCTCAAAAAATGTTTAACAAACAATTCAGTAGAAGGCGATAAATTATGGGGCACATACATATAATATGTATATAAATAAATTGTAAAATGTATGTATATATTTATGTATGTTAGTTTTTTCTTGTTTTGTATAATTAAATATTGCATTTGGTTTCGTTGAACGTCTGGACAATTTTTATATATATATATATATATTACCATTCGATTAATCATTTTCATTCCTAACCGACTTCCGCACTGATATCCGCATTTCGTTTCGCTCCTACTTAGCGTAATAGTTACAGCTATACTGGAATATATATCCTTATGTATATGTGTGTGTATACACCTTCATATACTATATATATATATTTGTGTGAGTGTATGTGTGTGTATATGTTTTTCTCCCAAGAATTGGATCAATGGATTCACCATAGACAATCGGTAGGACCAATTTTTTTGGGTTGGCTCCAGAAAAAACCGCTCAAAAAAATTACCCTCCCCAACGTCATTCCATTTTATCAATACATCAACTTTTGCTTTGATTTGTTTGATAAGTGAACTTTCAAACATGCTTTCATTTTTATTTTCCGCTGACACAATTTTTTGTAAGATTATGCTTCACATAAATTTTGATTTCAGTACCTGATTGCAATGGTTTTTGAAAACAAAAATACAGACACTTGTAATTGTTGTTGTTGGTTGCTTGTTTTAGACATACATTTTAATATGTTTCATATGTATGTACATATGTATGTACAATATTATAGTAAATGTTGTTTTAATTGTATGTTTAGGCCATAGTTTGTGGTTTGGTTTAAATACGAAAACGCTTTCAAAAATTCTACAGGACATAACTTCTCGCTGTCGTGCTTTTTCAGCGAGTTGGTTGTTGTTTTTGTTTGTTTTTTTTGTTGCTTGTTGTAAACTTTAATATGTAAATACACACAATCAGCTATATATATTATGTTAAACTTCTTGTTTCAATTTGTTTCTGGCTGCTACGCTTATTTACTAAGAACCCAATGAGCAAAGATCTAAGACAGACTCGAGTTGCATCATACTCCCACATCTTACATTTTTTAAAATTACCATTCAATTTTTCTCCGGCTACTGTTGTTACGGTTTGTGTTGTAAATATATGTATAATCGTAGTCGTCATATACTCGTATTTGCACATATTAATAAATGTATGTACTTATTTATGATAATTTGATTAGCTGTGTGTATTGTTGATCAATATAAAAAACATTGAAGGAGGGCACACGAATGGAATTTTGAATAGCAATTATTTTACGGCTTGAGTTCGCATTGAGTTTGCGACAAATGTGATAATGATTGATGGATCATTACACAGGGAGAAAGAGACACTAAATAATGTGATTGGAAGTGGTCTAAATTGTTGTTTATTTGTTTTATTATTTCACAACCATTTAACGAAGATTGGAGGGTAAGAAATTAGAAGGACCTAGTTCCATAAAAAGCCGCTGGAGAAATGTGATTAAGATTGTGGGTGTGTGTATCATCGAATATCGGACAAAATGAGCTCTAGAAGCTTATTCGGTTTCACTCAATTCTTGCAGCATTCCCTCCATAACAAAAATATATGTGTATATGCATTTCCATGGAAGTTTTTGTGCTCATTTTATTTGTATGTTTGTTTGGATGTACATACATGGCTAGTAATATCTTTCTGTTGACTGATTCAATTTGTTGCTCGGATTTATGGTTTCTTTTTCAAGGCAAAAAACATATGTGTTTATTTTTCCTTTAAATCGCCTCTTTTATTGCACGTGCTTGGTTATGTATAATAATTTTAGGTTTCCTTCTTCGTTCTTGTTTCTTTTAGTTTCATATTTTGTTTTTGTCTTTGTGTAAATTAAAAGAAAACTCAAGCTTTTGTTCTCAAGGTTCAGGTAATCAATTTCTAGTCTTATCTGTTGCACTGAGTAGTCTGCGAATTTTTTTCCTTTCTGCTCCGTTTTCCACTCTTGTTTTTACACACATATATATGTACCATTTGTATGTATGTATATATCATGTACATATTTGTGGAATTGTTTACGTCATTAGTTATAAAGATATATGTTTTATGTATGTATGTATGTATGTATGTATGTATGTATGTATTTAGTACAGATATGGCTGTACACAATTTAGCTTGAGTAAATCATGGATCATAAATCAATCGATCAACAGATGATGGAACAATAGTAGTAGGAGTATATGTTATGTCTTAGCTTTCAATGCCTATAGGTCATGATTTGAGTCGAGTTGAATTCGCTGCAAACAATAGTATACATAAGGTCCATCCATAAACATACGTAGGTATTTTTTGTATTGTATTTTTAGTGTTTAGTGTTTAGTTAGATACTAGTTTACATAGTTCGA